TGGGAGGGGGTGGGGATACTACCTGGGATCTCTCTGTCAGTCTTCTAATCTCAGCCTCCAGGTTTGAGATCCGCAACCCATGCTCCTGGTGGGAGGCCGCCATGTCTGTCTGGGAGAGACACAAGGACACTCAGTGAAGGACATCACAGGACCAACAGGAGCCTGACTGGTGACTCTGCTCTCTCGTCACAAGCTGGTATGCAGCCCCGGGCGTGTGTGTGTGTGTGTGTGTGTGTGTGTGTGTGTGTGTGTGTGGTAGTGGGGAAGACTGGCTAGTCACGCCTCTGGCTGCACCCTGACCTCTGGAGTCTCGGTCTGCACTTCATGCACACAGTCTCTCAACAGAAGAGCCTGTCATGAGGCAGCCCCCACCACACACCCTGCCTGGGTGCCCCCAAGCACGCCCCTCAGAACCCCCTTCGTCAGTCAGCCAGATTAAGATGACACAACATGACTTCTGTCCAGTGGACAGGCAAGCCACCTCTGCTGTCTGAGGGACAACAAACACAGTGAGCTTTCTATGACGTACACAGCTGGCTGCTCAGAAACAGTGACAATGAGCTCAGCCTGCTCCGAGCCACCCTCTGGCTGTTCTTAGCAGACAAGCTGCAGTGAGGCAACTACATCTAGCCCCGGGCAGGGGGGCCCAGCTCCGGGACGGAGGGCCTAGGCTGCCAGCACACACCGACACTGCCCAGTGGCCTGCACCCACTTGCGTCTATGGACCTCCGGTAGCACTCCACCCCCACATACTGCCCTGCCCTGCCTGCCCATACTGAGCCTGAGCAGGCAGCAAAGGAGAGCCTCTGGGGCCTTACCTCGGGGCGTGGGGTGCCCTCCCTGCGCTGCTCCGCCAGCTGGCGGACCAGAGAGAGCATGCTGTCTCGGTCACCATCCGCCTGGTCGGCGCGCGCCTGCAGAGCCCGGAGCAGCAGCACCAGCTCTCGGAGCTTCTCCTCATGAACCTGACACCTTCCTGACAGCGAGGCCACCTGCTGCTCCATGTCATGCAGCTGCTGCCAGCCGAGAGCCGCCTCACCACCACCCTGAGGGCCACAAGAGACAGACAGGGGAGGCACAGGCCCAAGGACCAGGCACCGTGGGTCTGCAGCTGTTCCAGGAGGCAGCTTCTAGACTCCTGTGTACTGTGGCTGCAGGGTAGGCAGTGGGCCACTAACCACAAGGTTGGCAGTTCAAGCCCACCAGCTGCTCCTAGGGAGAAAGATGAAGTGGACTGCTCCCATTTAGAGTTGGAAACAACCTGATGGGATTGAGGGTGGGTTTTGATTTGGGAAGGAGCCAGGAGATTTCTCTGCCATTTAGAAGTTTAAAGGGCGGGGCTTCAAAAATGTTCAGAAATTGAAGAGTCAAGAGACGAGACTTTCTGAGTCCTTTGGAGGTCCCTCCTGAGCCATGCTCACCACCAGGAAGAGGATTGGTGCAGGCCTCAGGCTGCCTCCTTTCAGCTTACCTCGAGGGGTCGGTGCTGGTGAGCTGTGTCAGGCGGAAGCACGTTGGTGGGACCATGTGTCCTCAGTGCTGCATGCAGGTGTGTCCAGTTCAGTATGGGCAGGAGGGAGAGGAGGTTGCCCTGACCCCAGAATTCTAGTCCAGCACCTTGGACAGAGAGAGAGGCAGCTGTGCACACTTGCACCCACTTCCACGGGGGCAAGCTGTGCTGCTCCCCAGGAGGCTTGGCCAGCCACTCACCCAGCAGAAAGATAAGCGGTAGCAGAAGGACCAGGAACTTGCAAAGATTCCGAAGGCACCTGGGAGCAGAAGGGATATCATGTGACCCTGGGAGGGCAGGGCTTGCCACCGACTCCTGGAATACTGTATCCCCCCAACCTCTTTTGAAACGACCGGGTGTGTATTAGCTGAAGCTGAAGCTATACACACCATGCCCTCACCTCGTGAGAAAGAAGACGTTCAGCCATGATGTCAGCGTGACCAGCTGGTACCAGCCGATGCTCAGCCACCAGAGCGCTCCAGAAGCCGCCTTCCCTGAGGAAGAGATGGTGGCTAGGAGGCACATGGGGATGCACACGGAGTGGGCAGCAGGGTGGACGGCCGGGGGACTTGCTACAGAAAGGTGAGCAGGAGCACAGCCCCCTGGGCAGAGACGCCAGCAATGGAGACTCAGGAAGCTGGCACACGCAGACTGTACACCAGCATGCACACCCTGTGTGCACATGTCTGCTAGCACATGCGGAAGCAAGGGAAGATGACACGGCGAAGCAAGGGCTGAAGTGCGTATCACAGACGAGGCAACCAGAGCTGGGGGTACACAGGGCAGAGGGGGAGGCCCGAGGTTACCACCTGGAGCGGTGATAGCCAGCCAGAGCGCCGACCACACCCCCAAGGACACGAACCAGCCCACTGCTGCGACACTCCGGTGCAGCACCCTTGCCAGGGCACGACCTGTGCGGATGAGACAGGCGGAGCGCTCAGACATATCCCCACCATCACTGCTCCCCCATGCTCCCTCGCTCGTCTCATCTTGGGGATGAAACGCTTCCGAGTCTAAAACTGCCCTGCTAAAACTGTCAGGGGCCATCGCCACCCGGCAAGGCAGGTGCTCTCCAGGAGAGAGAAGACAGTTTTTAAGCACCTGGACACTCTAGACACGCCAGGGTCCAAGAGAGACAACAGCGCCTGAGTGACCAAGTGAAAACTGTGCTAAGGAATAGTTTCCTAGGGAACTCTGTGTTTAAGGGACCAGTGGCCATGCACCCTGGCCCTACGACACTCTCTCCCCTGGTGCAGCAGTCCGTGCCCCTTAACACAGAGCGACCCCTGGGGGCCCGAACACCATCACTTTGGGTACCAACTCCAGCTCCTCCTCCCCACATCCCCGGGTAACCCGCAAGGGCACGGAGTTTGAGAGAATTTTAAAGACTAGCTGTTGATTCAATTGTGTGGAGATATTTCCTTTTGAACCTCAGCATTACAACAGCGTCTTATAAAATGAGTCAGGCTTCTAAGCGAGGCAAGCACAGGCTTACGTGGGGGACGGCACTGTCCGTCAGCCTGCTGCCCGCCCCGCCCCACCCCACCCCACCCCACCCTAGGTGTAGACTGCCAGCACACAGACCCTCGGCACTGGGTGACAGGACACGGAGGGTAACTAGCGACCGCACTAGGTTGCTCTGTGTTTGACGGTGCTTCACAACCGCACAAAGACGATACGAGCAGTGATGAACGTAGTTGATTGCTGCTCAGGTTGCTGAACAGGAGGTTCAAGCCCCACTCCAGAGAAACTAGAACAAGCCCCGGCAGCAGCAGGCAGGGTACCACCTGCAGATGAGACGCTGAGACGCTCAGCCCCGGGTAGCCAGGAATGCTGCTGCCTGTGAGAGGAGGTGTGCGTCTCCAGGTGCTCCTTCTCCACCCAGGCGTCGTCACCTGTCAATGGTGGGAGCAGGCAGAGAAGTTGACATCCATCTGAACAGTGCCCGATGGGCCGCCCCACGACTCCTCACAGCACATGCCCCAGCGTCCCCCTCCTGCGGCATGGCATGCGAGTGGACACCTGTATCCAAACTGTACTCACATGGCGGCTTCCCTTCCACACCGAGGTGTGAGTCCTCGCCTGTCCACCCTCCTTGCCCGGCAAGAGCTGTAACGGCGACAGGGGCTCAGTGCATGTCCTGCCCACAGTGCAGTGCAGTGCAGCGCAGCTCAGCTCGGACAGCCTGACCGCCCCGCCCAGGTGAAGCAGGCAAGACTGGGGGGTGACACCAAACTACCGGAGTCTGCTCCGCCCAGGAGGAGTCATGAGGGGGCACAGAGCCGGCCCTGCTGGCACAAGTGAGGAGGAGAGCGAGTGCATCTCTCTGAACTGTGTCAGCACAGCGCGCCTTCAGAGAGCAGAGCTGCAGCCATGGCGCAAGGCCCACCGAGCCCCTCAGAGGGGACTGGCCAAGAGACTGAGAGGCAGAGAGACAGTGGGCGAGTGAGCAGAGGAGAGCGCACGGGAGCCACAGGGTCTCCTCCACCTAGAAAGCGATATTGGTGGAGAGAGGAGGGAAAGATGGTATAAGTACCTTTGGAACCACGGCTTTCTGATTCACCATCTTTGGATTCATAACTTTTCAATCTGTAAGTCTGTGCCTCGTAACTGAGCTTCATTAAACCCACTTGGAAAAGCTGGACTAAGAAGGACGAGAGGGACGCCGAGGCGTGCCAGGCCAGCCGCACGAGCCTATTCATGTGGAGGGACACACCGCCTATCAACAGACGGGAGGGCTCATGACTTCCTGCCCCTTCTGAAGGGGTGGGGGTGCTGCAGGACGTGAGGTGGGCGAGGAACCAGAGCACCACAGCGACCCTGCCTCACCAGCTTCCTGAGGCTGTCAGTCTATAGCAGCAGCAGCAGCAGCAGCCTCCTCCTCCTGTCTCAAAGGGCTGGGGGGCTCTGAACCGGTGACCTTGTAGATAGCAGCACCAGGGCTCCAGGAGGGGAGAGCATGTTCCCTCAACCTTCCTGACTGGTCTGAGGCAAATGCCACGTCTTCCCCCCGGTCACATCTATGTTGGAATCCTTCTGTGCCATAGTCTAGACAACTCTGCCCTGCAGAGCTTACAAAAGGACACAGCAGCCACCCTCCATGACCTCTGACCCCACACATGCTCTCGGCCTCGTGGAGTCCAGTAAGGTTCAGGGTGGGCACGGTAGCCCCCTCTGTGATGGGGGAGGGGGAAGGGCAGGAAGCAGCCATGTTCCTGTGGGCAGGAAGCTTGGGCTCCACAGAGAGACCCAGAGACCACTCTCTACTCTCCTACCCTTAAGCGTGTAGGGTGGTGTGAGCGACTCGAGGTCCTTCTGCCTGCAGGATAGCACTGTCCTGGACTCACAGGCCCCATGAGTCACAATGAGAGGGCTGAGGCCAGGCCTGCACCCAACCAGGCTGTGGGCAGTGTGCTCCCCGTCTCTGAGTCCCGTCTCTGACATCTCAAACCTTTCCAGCACCCGCTGCCCACTAACTGGTGACACAATGCGCACAATGCTCGATGCCCAGATCACAGCAGGGCGGCCCGCGCCAAGTGAAGCCTCAGGTGTCGCAGTGTCGGGAGCCACGCCCACCCATCAAAGAGTCTGCCAGTAGCTTCCTCCCAGGTGCATGCTGAGCTTTACCAAGTCAGGACGGACTGGCGAGGCCCTGGGGAAGCCCTGGGGAGTGATTTTCAAGAAAGACGTTTACAGCATATTCTATTTGCAAGTATTTCATGTAGGTTGTAGGCATTTTGTCAACTCAGCCCTGAAAGTCCCCATGAAGCTGGGGCAGATGACGAGCCCCCAGCCATCAGTGCCAGCTCTGCGCCACACTTCATTTCCAGATGCTTCTGAGAGAGGCTGGCTGGCCAGTTAGGACAAGTCTTTCATGAAACTGTAGTGGGCACCACAGCTCATGACCGCCCAGAGGGCCCCCAGCCAAGTGCCCACCACACACACTGGACACACAATGTGGTCCATTCACACAGAGGGAGGGGTGTCTCGGTGCTGTGATGTGGACCGACTGAGAAGACCCGCTGCTGAGGGAAAGATGGCAGACAGAGAGGACAAACACCGACATCACTTCCCTGACACAAACGCCCACAGAGACCAGGAGGAGACGGGGGAGGCATGGTACTGGTGCAGCTAACTGTGAACACTGGAGGGCTGGGTAGCTATGCCTGGACTTGGGGTCCTCACACCAGCAGGGTCACGCCTTCCAAGGAACTGTGGCCATGCTTACCATTGCTAGTCCTGGGTCACTGGCCAGTCCACTGTGTGGATGCTGACTGTTACAAACACCTCCCACCCTAAGTTGTCCTTAGAAGTCAGCGGTCATGGGGCCACAGCCCTGTGCCCCAGCCCATAGGATGAAAGCCCCAAGGATGCAGTACTATAAGTCAAGGTCAATAAGGATGGGATTGTTGCCCAGCTGTGTGGTAGATCCTTGGCCCATCACACCTGTGGGTGTGACGGCCCCTCCCCATGGGAACTGCGTTTCTCTGTCACCCCACTGAGCCACATCAGTGTTCAGTGTCCCCAGCCAAGCACTTTCTGCAACAGAAAAGCAGATCAGGCACAGAAGAATGGACAACCAGGAAGACAGCTGCCTTACAGATTTGGCCAAGGAGCCAACGAGCAAGTGCTGAGGGAGACCAATAGTCTCCCTCCCACTAGCCCCGAATTAGGACTTGTGGCCTCCTGACGGGCAGTGAGAGAAGACGTGGACATATGGTTCCAGGGCTGCTCGCCTGTGGCTTTCTGCTGCGGCACTCTGATGAGACCAAGACCTGGCCACACCGAGCAGCACAGACACTGAGCGGGCCGTCACTCAGAGCCACAGGAGCAAAGAAGAGCTGACACTCGTCCTTCTCTGACTTACTCTGGCTCCGGTCCCGAGAGTAGACCCTGGAGGTGTGTGTGGCGAGGGCCTCCTTGCGAGCAGCAAGCAGGCTGCAGCTGCTGCAGGTGTAGCCATTGATGGGGGCGGCATCGGCTGCGGCAGCCAGGTCCCCATTTCCGTGGCCGGCAGCAGTGGCTTTACTTGCTCCTACAATTTCCACAACAGCAGATCGGTCAGCAGGTTCCTGCCTGCGACAGCTCAGGAAAGGGTGTGTTGTGGAGAGTGGATGGGGACAGAGGGTTACCTCTAAGGTCACCGTCGTCATCGTCCAGACCTGAAACACACACAGGGGCTGCTGAGCTCAGTCAGAGCATGACAAAAGTCACAGCAGCAGCGGCAGCTGGGGCTTCCCAAACGCTCCCAACATTGGCTGCCACTCCAGGCCAAGGCACTGCTTTGAGAAGTGCACCTGCATAGACCCACCCCAAGCACACGCACGCTCACGGGTCTCCAAGCCAGTGCAAGCTCGGCAGCCAGGACTCAGGCGGGCAGCGTCATCCTCGCCAGAGTCCCCACACAGCTCTGCCATGACACTGGTGGTCCCCACCACCCCAGTTTGCACCGACTCAAGCCAGGGGATGTGGTGGTGGGTGGTCCTGAGGACACTGATGCTCACAGGCCACCTGCTCCTGTTCCCCAACCCAACATGCCACCGGGACGACCTGGCAGGGCTACTCATCCTGCTGCTCAGAGGGGACTGCATGTAGCTCAGCTGCAGGTCTGCGGCGTCCACTCACCCCAGAAGTGGTCCACCTTGGTCTGTTCCCGGATCAGAGAGGCATCAAGCACAGGAGGCCGCAGGGCCATGTTGTCTTGCAGGCTGCGGCAGCCGCTCTGGCTGACCGCCACCGTTGCCACCTTCCCTGGCGCACAGTCCACACTGAAAGCCAGCCTGCTTGAGCTCTTGCCTGGCCTGGCTGTCCTAGGAGGAAGGAGCCGTGGCTGTGTCAGGACCAAGCCTGTTCTTGTTCCTGCTGGGCTGACACCTCAGTCCGCACAAAGGAACGGTAAATAGCACTCGGTCGGCAACGCCCCTCCATGCAACAGTTCTCAGTTTATTGGGTGGGGGTCCCAAGACTCAACATCACTAAGAACTGACAATGCTTAGAAATCTGATTTCCAAGGAGCTCTGCTCACACACCCACACAGGAGGACAGGCTGAGGCCCAAGTCCCCAGTGCACATCTGTCCGATGTCACCAGCACGGCCCTCAGTCCTTGGGAGTCTGCTGTGAGCAGAGGGCAGAGGCATGGAGATGGATGATGAACACAAGGCAGCGTGCACAAGCAGCAGTGCCTGTCAGGGACGGTGGGGGTGAGCTGCCACAGGGCTAGCTCCATGCACAGGATGCCTAGCGTGTCTGAGTCAACTACTGAGACTCCCTTGCGGCCAGCCTTCGTGCTACAGGACGGAGGAGGCTTCCCTTTAGGGCCGACCAGGTCCCTGGCTGGCAGTCTACATGCAGCCTTCGTCTACGCACCACACTCCACACCCATCAATTCCACTCTCCGTCTTCTCTCTGCACTGCTACTAAGGCACGCGGTGCCCCAGAGACTGGGGCTGGGGCGGGCACCCCTCGCTAACAGGGAGCACCTTGCTCTCTAACACTTCAAAGATGTCTTAGCAGCAGAAGTACCCAATGTGAGTCACCGTGGGACTCTGCTGGCCTCTTTGTGGTCCTAGTGCTGACACCCACGCCCGTGGTGTATCCGGTTGTGGGGATCTTCACAGTCTTCTTTTTAGGAGTCGTCCACATTTAACCCCTGCCCATGCACACGGACACACTGGCACTCGCGAAAGGTATGTTTGGTACTGACCACGGGGGCTCACCTGGACATTCTGTCCTTCGAGGAGGCGGAGCTCCTGACGCCGGCAGGACCCTTGGCATCTGGGCCATCGCCCGAGGTGAATGCCGGGGTGACCAGCCGCAGACTCCGGCGGGACATCCTCGGAGAGTCAAAGACGGGGTCCAGCTTATGCGCCACCTCAAAGTCCAGCGCCTCGGAAGAGTAGCTGGAGCTGGAGGAGAGGGGGCTCGTGAGAGGCACGCTGCAGCCCAAGTCGGGACCTGTTGAGAGCTTCCAAAAGCAGCGTGTGTGATGGTGGGACAGGGCTGCTACGAAACAAAGGTGAGCGGGCCAATCTGCTGAAGGAAACGTGGCATTACATTTCACATCACACAAACACTTCCCCAAGCACATCTTTAATCTACGCGCCAAAGATGCTGGGAGAGATGCCGAAGCAAAGCAGACGCAGCCATAGCCATTGCGACATATCACTGTCCCTGTGCAGAGAAAGAGGGCCTGACTTTGGAGCCCCCAGGTACTGGGCCTCCGCCAGCAGTCTCTCACAGTCATGTGTCCCGGTGAGTGGCCCATCACTTCTAGCTGCTGTGTCCAGTGTGAACACCGTGTCACATTCATCTTCAATCCCACCCCCACCCCTCTCCCTCACTTAGCCTGGGACTTCAGGACAAGGTTGGACAGCACATCAGGAGAGAATCCTGGACCCCGAGCCAGCCATGACCATGCAGGCCTGGCCACCTTCTGCCCAGAACTCTGCCCCTGCACTCCCACACAGCCAGCCCTGTAGCCCACACCTGGAAAGCTCCCCCTGCCCCCTGCTGGTCCCATTAAGCAAGTGCCCTGGCCCCTCTGAGGCAGAGAGCTGGGGCTGTGGGGAGGACTGGGAGGGCAGACAAGCCCACATGCACTCAGTCCATGCGGAAAGCAGCTCCCTCGCTTCATCACTGAGGTGACACAGGCAGAACAGGAGAGCCACAAGCCAGGGGTGGCTTAAGGCTGAGCGAGTGGTGCATATGCTCTGGGAGGGCCATGTGGCCTGTTGTCAGTACGACTCTACACCAAGGAGCAGGGCCCAGGGTCCTGTTCCTCCTGAGGGCACAGGCTGGCTTTTCTATCAGGGAATCCTGAGCGGGGCGGTAAGAGGGAGCGGCATGGGACTTAGGATCCAGGACTTGGGCTCAGAGTCCAAGACACTGCCCCAGTTCCTCCAGAGGTAGGAGAGCCACTGAACCAGGGTCTACACTCCCCCACTGCGGCTCAGGAGGAAGCAGACTGTCTGCTGGGCCCTGAAGCTCCTGCCTGTGCTGTGCCAGATGACAGCCTCAAGCACCCCCACCGCCCCCTTGCTTTCCCACAGGCAGACCTTGTGGCAGTGCTACTATTATCCAACCTCATTCTGTCGTGCCCTGCTTTCCTGCACCACGCAGTGCATCCCACTTTAGCATACCCCACTGTACAGTACCCCGCTTCTCAAAGGCAGACCTCGCTGCAGTGCACACCGCTTTGTTGTATTTTGCAGATGATGCGATGTTTACAAATCCCAAGGTGGCATCCAGCCTGTGGGGCCGGTGGCCTGTCAGCGCCATCTCCCCTGCCCAGCAGTGGGTGCTCCCCTCAGAGCCCTGGGTCCCATGCGGGTCCTTCTCATATCAGAGCACCTTTGGTCCTTTTTATCTGCATAGGACTTGTCCAGTAGTAGGCAGCCTGCCAAGTGTGTGGTGAACCAGCCTGGTGTCAGGAGCCCCTCACAGGCTGACAGGAAGCTCTCTCTCATGCCAGCCAGCCAGCCAGCCAGCCAGCCAGGGAGAGCCTGAAACGGATCAAACGCCTCAAGAACTGCCAGTGTCAGGAGTACAGGTGGAGACAAACCACCACACCGGATGCCAGGACCCAGATTTCCATGGTCCAAAGTTATCAATGGTTTTTTACACATTACAAAACGAGGGTATGGGGAAGTGGACACCAATCAACTATTTATGAAGTGGAAGGGGCGGCTGCAGATGACTGGCTGTACACAACTAGTGGCGATCTTTGAGAGCTGTTTTCCCTGTGTGGATGCCCACTGCTGACTGGAGACCATAATTCGCTTGAGGTTTGCACCAAGTTAACCAGCGGGCACCAAACTCTCAGCGAGGGTGACAGAGTTCCTGCCCAATGGGGACTCGAAGCTGTATTCAAACCAGATGACTCCCCAGGGCAGCCTGCCTCCAGGCTCACTCCCTCTCCCAGTATAGCCAGAGCACCCAGAAACCGAGTCCTGCAGGAGGGGTGTTTCCCTGAGTCAGAGGAAGTGTGCCTTTTGGATACTCCCTTCCTGTTTTCCCACAGCCTGAGGGACCCCACAGTTGGCCAGGCACAGGCCCGCTCCAGACACTACTCCAAGCACACTGTCCTTCTAAGAAGCAGGCTGCCCTCTACTTGCCCTTCCCTCTGGGCAAACCAGAAACAGGGCATGAAGCCAGGACTCCACACAGGCCAGCCCCACCCACGTTCCCATCACACCTGCAGCTTAGGCTCTATCCAACTCCTGCCCCGCCACACTGCCAAAAGAAACCTTCCAGCGTGTCCCCACCCCCACCCACAGTACTTTGCGTTACAGCTCAGGACCTGGACAGGACCCAGACAGCCTCGCCTTGAGACGACAGCATGAGTCACTAGACAGCGCCAGGCACACACTCACCTGAGTGCATATGTGTAGCCAGTGTTCTCGGGCACACACTGAGGAGGGCTGTAGGTGTGGAGCCGAGAAAAGTCCATGTTCATGGCCTCAGAGCATGCTGCACAAGGCGGAGAGAAAGGAGGGGGGTTAAAGGGCAGAAGGCACACAACTCCAGAAAATGTCACTCCCACGCCACAGGACAAGCAAACAAAGCCAGCTCTGATTTCAAAGGCAGACATGTCGCCTCACAGCCAGGAGTCCAAGCAAATGCACGCATACACACGCACAAGCACAGATGGGCTGCTGTTAGGCGTCAGAACCAACTCCCCAGCAGTGGGTGTAGTCATCAGAAACACCTACCAAGGTAACTCATCCCCTGCAAGTCTGGAAGGCACCCAAAAATCATCCTGCCAAGATGTGGTCCCTGCACCCAAAGACCATCTATGGCTCAGCAACAGGTGCCCAGGACACGCACGGAGCCAGAGCCAAATGCTGAGGAAAGGTCCCACCCACTGGCCCCTCTCTTCTGAGACACACAGACCGGGTCGAGGGCAGGCACTGGAGTCCCGAGCAGGAAGCAGTGCGCTCCCACTGACGGGGACGGGGTGTGTGGCCGCCATGTCAGCTGGGGCTACACAGCTTGACTGAGGCACCTGAGCCTTGTGCTACGTTCATGCTCACAACAAACACAGGATGTTCCCGTGGGTGCAAACCCACCCACTGCCCTCTGTGCCACTAACTCATCACCCCCAGCCCCTCAGAGCTCCAAGACGGAATGCAGGACAAACACTCTGGCTCAAACACCCTGACAAGTTTCTGCTTCCCCAGAAGAAAATACAAACTTTATTCTTTAGATGAAAACATGTGAGCACCATGTTTCTCTAGTTGTCATGGAGAGTTCTTGGGGAGTGACTCACACTTTCCTCTAGCTAAAAATATACACACACACACACACTCAAATCTAAAAAAAAACAAAACAGAAAAAATGCCCACCCCAGAGCAGCACGGCTGCTAATAGTGAAGAAGATGGAACTACGAGGAGGAGCCCAGGGATGGCACCCTGTGCGCACACATGACTGCTCGGACCCACAGCTCACTCCTGGGGAGAAAGCGTCCAGACTGCCCTTTAGACACAGTGCTTGTACAAGTGCTTATTCAACAGACAACACAAAACTCTTCCATCTTTGAAAACAAGTCAAAACTTTTCAGGCCTCTGCATGGCTTCATCCCCCAGCCTACCTATATACTACAGGGGGGCAACAAGCCCCTGCAGCCCCACCCCTGCAAGCAAGTGACCGTTATTTCACTCAAGAGCGTGCTGAATACCCACTCTACATGTGGGCAGCAGCAGTGGCTTCTGGCCCCGCTGGACTGGTAGCCAGGTTCTTCTCTGACTCTGCTAGCACGAGGCCACACTGGACTTTGGACAGGGCCCATGCCCACACCCTCTGGCGTCAAGGCTCAGGGGTCTCACTGTTTCAGCACTTGACAGGGTCGGGCTGCACCCCTGGTGTGAGTCGTACTGACAGCCCCTGTGACTGAGACGACTGCAAGGGGTCTGAGCAGGGCTGCCCTGGGGTTTCTGTGACAGCAACCTTCACAGAGGCGCCGTGTACATCTTTCTCTCATTGGGCTAGCAGCTGGTGGATTTGAACCCCCGGTCCCTCACCACTGCATCACCAGGGTTCCTAACATGGACAGGCTTGGGGAGGTGCAACACTCAGGGCCTCGGGGAACCTGCCACCTTCGGTCACCCAGCACTTGGCAGGGGAGGGGTGCTGCTGGCACCTCACTGCCCGGCCACCGTGTCCACTGAGGCAGTGACCCACCTGGAGCCCAGGCCCCTTTGGAGCCGGGATGGACACAGACCCTACTGTCCCACTGAGGAAGGGTGTCTGAGGGGGAGCACTGAAGAAAGACTCCAAATAGGGCCTCCAAAGAAGATGCCTGTGTCTGAGGCGCTGACCCCGCCTCCTGTGACCATTACAGCTCTCACAGACGCCGGTAGAGCTCCCTGCTGGTTTCTGGCTGTATCCCCCACCCCCACCCGCACAAAACCTGCTCAACCCCCTGCTGGACAGAGATCGGACACTGAAGGTGTGACAGCACACAGGAGAGGGACAAAACAAGCTCTGGCATGCCCAGTCAGAACAGCGCCCACACTTCCTCAGGCGGTCTGCAGACCTCCTGAAGCCCTGGCCACACCACCCGGCCCAATGGGAAGAGCCACTGGGATTCTCTTCAGAGCTCTTCATAAGTTAAAAGACCAGGGTCTCCATGCTCAAATCCCACATCCCTTCAGCAGAGGGAACAAGCAAGGGGGGTGGAGCTGACAGGCTGGGGCAGCGGAGCCACTGAGAGAGCCCCTGCAAGAGACCTTCCTGCCACCAGCCAGGCCTATCTGGGCTGAATTAACGCTTAAAGCCACCACCTGCTGAAATGCCCAGTGACTGTCATCAGGCAGGGCTTTTGGGAGAAGGGTTCGGAGCAGGCTGCGTCCTGGAGCCACACGCCTCTGACGAGGCACCGCTGAAGTGAAAGCACAGGGACCCAGTCCACACCACAGCCCAAAACGGCTTCCGTCCCTGCTGCCGCCTCTGGCTGCACAGGCACCCATTGGGGAGAGGAGAAGGGAGGGACAGATTAGACAAAAGACTGCCTGCCGTTAACCAGTTAGGTCCCTGATCCATTACACCAGCCAGCTCACCCCCGAGAATGCCCAGTGGCTGCAGTGTGGAAACAAGAACCACCTCTGAAAGAGTGGTGCGGAGTCAGTCCTAGTGCTCGCACCCAGCTGCTATTCTGCCTCCAGGACAACCACCCAGATCGGTGTGTAACTTCCACAACCTAGCAAATAGGGAGCTTGAGATTCATTTTAAGAAAGAAAGGCTATGTCGATGACAGAAAAACCATGACTTAGCGTCCACTACTGAACCAAGAAGTCAACAGGGTCTCACTGACAACAGCCCGTCAGAAATACAACCCTAACCTCACATGTTGGGGTGGGGGAGGGGAGAGTTCAGGCAGGAATTGACACCAACAGTTATCTGTATGCACACACACATGGAGGGGCTTTGAAATGTTTATGGAATCATCCACTACCCTTCAACCCCATGCTCACCAACTCCCTGAAGCTGCCGTGTGCTGTGCGTGAAGATTCGCTCACAAAGCCCCTAGGTGAGCATGGCCAGAGCCCTGCTTGTAGCCCCTTAAGCCCAGTTCAAGTCTACATTTTTTTAGAGAAGGCACTTTTGTAAATGAGCCCAATAAAGAAAATCTTTTCAAACAGATTATGCTGCAGCCCTCTGGGGCTGGTGAGGAAGCAGGTGTGGCACCTGAGAGCCCTGGGAACCTGGGAGTTGTCTGGTGGTGGCTAAGACAAGCGTGGTAGGCTCTTTTCTGTGGCTGCCTGGAAGGTACAGGTCTGACCATGTGCTTAGAAGGGGCTCCACGGTCCTGCACAGGCTTCCCTCTCAGCTGGGGGCTTTGCCAAGAGGGATAGAGGGAGCTGACCACCTGCAGGCATGGACTTCACTCTCGCTGCTGCCCTCTCTACATTCCAGCCATCCTCAGTGTGCAATCCACTGGTGCTGTCAGTTTGCTTACAGCAAGTGTTGGCCTGGAGTCATTCCAACCTCCTGCCCGTAGGGTTCTGGGCTGGGACAACCTGGAAGCTGCCCAGCACTTAACTGCTTCATCGCTAGGGTGCCTTTCTACAGGGAGCAGGCGCCAGGTTCCACACCTGATGAGAATCTCCACCTCCTCGCCTACCACTGACCTGGGCACAGCAGGCTCAGCAGACCGTCACTCATCCCCACAGAGCCATATGTTACCCCGCAGTCCTGATCCTGCCCCCCACATCTCCTCCCTCCTACACTCTCCTGTGGCTCCCATCAATACATAGGGCCAACGGCCATTCTTCTCGAGTTTGAAGAAGTTTGCAACATAAAAACCAAGTGCAGAAATTATTCCGCAAATTCTAGACAGAGCTCAAGCCTCCCAATGGTCAGTAAAATTCAGTCTCTAGGCAACAGGGTGACTCTGAGCACAGCAGACAGAATATTCTTTGTCTGCCTGGGCCCCACCCTCGTGGATTCCATGGAGACTCAGGCGCTACACCTGCTGCTTGACACCAGAGAGCACCTGCCTGCCAGAGCGAGCAGGGCCCAGCCTCGTCCCCAAGGTTGTTTATTCCACCTGGAGCTGAGCACTGGACCGGGAGGAAGGTGGGTTCTGACAGCCTGAGGGCTGCAGACAATCGAAGGGAGGGATGAGGTATGGAGGCCCTGCTGGTGGAGATCAGCCTTCAGGATGGGCAGCATGGCAACACGAAGAAGTAACACCCAAATGCTCAAACTGCGGATCCCCGTGACACCCGGAGCAGAGCTGGACGCCACCCTGCCTGTGGGTTTGTTTTCCTTGGAGCCATAATCACTGCCGACAGCAGCCACCCAGCGATAGTGACAGTGGGCAACCTTGCTGCCACAGTCCCTCCGAGGACTCAGGCGCGTTGGATTTAAGCTCTGGTATCCATGAATGCCGCTCCCGCGTGTGAAAAGCTGGACAGTGGATCAGGAAGACTGAAGAAATGACATCTCTGGATTAGGGTGCTGGCTATGAATCCTGAATACATGGAGTGCCGATATAAGGTTTTAGAAGGACAGCCAGAACGTGCCTTAGAAGCCAGGGTGGTGAGACTTTGTCTCACACACTTTGGACACGGCAGGAGAGACGAGTCCCTGGAGAAGGACATCGTGTTTAGTAAAGAAGGTCAGGGAGGAAGATGAAGGCCCTCAATGAGATGGACTGACACAGCCAAGATTGTGCAAGTGGGTGGCACAGGACTGGGCTGCAGCTGCTGCAAGGGGTCACAGTGGGAAGGACTGATGGACAGTGCCTGACAACAGCATGAACGGCCACAGGGCCCACAGGCACTCACCGGAAAAGCAAAGCACCCACAGGCGTGCTGATTTACAGACCATCAAAGTTGTTTACCCAACTGACAATCACACAAAGGACTCAGCCAAGAACCACCGTGACCATGGGGAGGGTGCCCAGTGGGGCCTGGGGCAGCCTGTGCGCTCTGTGCTAGTCACTGTCCACTGTGAGCTGGCAG